CACCAACATGTCATTGAGTTTATAGCGGAGCAATGTACTAACCTCTGACTGTACAGGGACAGAACACTTTTTAAAAGATAGTTTATTCCAGCAAGATACATGAAGTTAGCATGGGTCAACAGTTAAGGATGAACTCCAACATCCTGTATCGTTTTTACTACTATTCAAACTATAACTAAACACCTGTTGCTGCCAAGTTGATTCTGACTCATAGCGACCCATTAGAGCAGGGGAGAACTACCCCAGAGGGCTTCCAAGCCTGTAATCTCTACAGAAGGAGACTGCCGCATCTTTCTCCCGTGGAGTTGCTGGTAGGTTCAAACCGCCGACCTTCTGTTAGCAGCCAAGTGCTTAATGACTGCACTACCAGGGCTCCTTCAATCTATAGGTATCATTTAATGATAATTTTAAGAATTGCTTTTAAGCTTCTTTAATGTGATAAAGGCTTTCTACAAGAATCCTAGGGCATCCAATCTTACAAGATGTTGTAAAATCAAAGCATTCTCCTTAAAGTAAGGAAAGGGTATGGATGGTTATTTTCATAGCTACTCTTCAAGTCTGCACTGGTGGCCAAGGCCAATTACAGCAAAATCTGGCTTTGAACTATTTTAAAGACAGGTACTTTTCATTAAGTTTTTGTAAATTTCAAGCAAACTAGGTTAACATTGCCTAGTAGAACTTCTCAGGAAACGTGTTTGTATATATTATATATATTGCCAGTTCCATTCAGGGATAGCCTTGATAAAGCAGTAAAAACTTTGACTTTTATGAGATCTCTGCCTTAAGTCTTTTTCATATTCTAGGTGATGACATGGGAAGTGTGCACAGGTACTCGTGTTGTACACCAAGTCGATGGCTGGCACCGTATGACGGTTTGCACTGCACATTGAACCAGGCTTTTTTTTCATGGAGCACCATCTTGACTTGAAAGAATGACTCGTAGATAAATTTGGTAGACATTTTCTTAAAAATGAACTATGCCAGCCCGTCATTTCAAGGACAATTACTGACAATATTTGTTGCCAAGGATAACATTTGAGTTCTTAAGTGAAAGCTAGGATTTTGGAAAACTTATCCACTACCCAGGTTTGCAGCTTCCAAATACTTAAGATTCTTCTGATGAGATAAGTGATATTATTAAAGTTAGTTGTTTTTCCTGTGGTATAATGAAATGGGCCAACATTTGGAAGAATTACATAAAGTGGAGAACCAGTACTTTTCAAAGGACCAATGCATGATATGATAAAACCAAGTATGGGTAAGACTCATTCAAAATGCAAAACAACCAGTGGATTTTAATTTAACAATCCAAAAAGTTGAAAAATACACCTAATGGATTCCACACTGCAACTAATCTTTATTTAAAAAACCACCATTTGTTGCAGTTTGGTGTAATATTAAAGAAAAATATCAACAACTATCTGCAAAGGCTATCAAAATCTCCTTCTATTTCCAATTAGGTATGTGAGTCCAAGCAGCCCTGGTGGCCCAATGGTTAGGTGCTCACCTGCTAACTAAAAGGCTGACATTTCAAACCCACCATGGACTCCATGGGAGAAAAGACCCGGCGATCTGCTTCCGTCAAGAGTACAGACCAAGAAACCCTATGGGGGCAGTTCTGTTACTTGGGGTTGCTGTGAGTTGAAAATCGACTTGATGGCACCTAACATCATCATCTGAGTCCACATTTTTTTCGTATACTTCCAACCGAAATAACACATTGCAACAAATTACATACACAAACAGATATGAGAATCTAGCCAACTACTAAGCCAGACTTCAAAGATCTGTAAAAGTATAAACAATACCACTTCTCTTACTAAATTGTTTTTGTTTTGGAAAACAGTTATTTTTATAAAAATTTTATATTAATATATATTAGACTTACTGTTGTTTTCAAATGAATAAATATTTCACAGTTTGTTTTATTTTCCAGGTAAACATTTTTATTACCCCTACGGCAGTATAGCATCGACAGCATGTTCTAACGCACGTGCAGATGACATAAACGTTGTGTTTAAGGCTGTCAATATTTTGAAAATTTGTCTTTGTTCTTTTAAATCAGTTTTAATTTTAATGCAATAATTAGATAGGTAGAACCCATATAAACACAAACTCTTCGGGGGTCTTCAGTTTTTAAATGTATAATGGTTCTGAGAGCAAAACGTTTGAGAACCCCTGTTCTATCCAGTTGGCAAAGGTCCACCTCACGCGTTAACTAGTCACTGAAGTACACGTCACCATTCCTGCCTCCCATCTCCAGAGGTGCCACAGACACTATTTGGTAATATGGTAATACCAGTTGCCATCATGTCGATTTGGACTCATGGTGACCCCATGTGTGTCAGAGTAGAACTGTGCTCCATGGGGTTTTCAATGGCTCATTGTCCGGAAGGATACAGGTACGCCTTTCTTCCCAGGCGCCTCTGGGTGAACTTGAACCTCCAATCTTTAGGTTAGCAGCTGAGTGCATCAGCTGTACCACCCAGGGACTCCTCCATGGTAACGGAACTTTCTATCTGTAGTTTGTTGGGCACATGGACACTTAAGATTTCATCTCCCTGCCTCCCTCCCAACTGGGAGTGGCCACGTGACTGGCCAACTGGACATGAGCCCAAGTGATGTATGTCTTCTAGGAAAGGTGCCGGCCCTCGTTTCCCTGGCTGTAGTGCAGCCATTGTGGTGCTAAGCTGTCTTAGACCATGCCACTGAGAGCTATACTCCTGGATGGCAAAGAAACAAAAACAAAAGAAGAGCCTGGGTCCCAGGAATCCTGGGAGCGGCCACCACTGTAGCCTGAACCACTTACACCTGGACTGTCACAGGGCAGAAAGAAACTTTGGCTTTAAGCCACCATTAGTTGTGTCTCACTGTTCCACTAGTCACAAGGCATGCCGCTTTGGGGTAGCATTCTCCCTAGGGAGGAATGCTTGTGAGCTCCCCAGACCCTCTTCTATTTTCCATTGGCTAAGAGATTCTGAGAACTATAGCAGCTGCTTCGGACCCAGAGATGTATCTTAAGTATCCAACTAGGAGAGGAGTAACCACTCAAGTTCACATCTACAAGATGAATAATTTTCTGCCCCCCATTTGCACTGTTCATGTCCATCTGCTTTCCTGACTCAATGAGCCCCATCAAGGACAGGGCCTTGCCTTATACTTTTCTGTATTCTCCATCATGCTTTACAATACCTCAACAAACCATCAGTAATCCAGCCCCTGCCTAGGTCAACCTTGGCACTATTGACATTTGAAGCCAGATAACTTGTGGGGGGCTGCCTTGTACACTGCAGGATTTTGGCAGCATCCCTGACCTCTACCCACTGGAGCCCAGTAAACCACCCCCATTCCCATTGAGAACCACTCTTAGGTTATCCTCAAGACAAAGCCACCCACTTTGTTGCCTAAACCAGCCATGCTGGTGGTGCCTCCCCATCTTTTCTCGAATGACTCTTGCAGTCTGCACGCTCCCACCAACATCGTCATCTGGGCAGGCTCATCTTTCATGGTGAGCATCAGACATTTCCTTCACTCAGAGGCCCTTCATGACTCACCCTCCCCAGGTAAAACCAACCCTTCATTCCCTTATTTCTAGAGCACATGCCCACTTCTGGCAGACTGTTAACTGTCCAGAAAAACCTATCCTCTTCTCCTTAATGATAGAGCATCAGAGTTTTAGTGGGACATGTGGCTTCCCTTCCTGAAACCATTTCCTAGTCCCCATTGATGCTGGGCCTGGCAGTGTCAAAGCTCTGCCCATATTCCACTAGTCAGAAAGGATGCTACTTCTGGGTCATGGTCTCAGGGAGGGATGCTTGTGAGCTCCCAGGCCACCCATCTACTTTCCACTGGCTGAGAGATTCAGAGAACTAGAGCAGCTGCCTCGGACCCCAAGATGAAATCTGGTAGTCAGGATGGCAGAGCCGTTCCACCAGCTGTGGACTACTTGCTTCTGAAATGCTACCTGAAATAAACTTGATGATCTTATTTAAAACCACTTCTTTTGATTTCCTAAGAGCAAGCAAACCAACATCTTAACTCATACAGGCTAGTATATACAGTCTGTACTATACACGAGGAATTGGTAAAATTTTTTGTAAAGAACCAGATAGTAAATATTTTAGGCTTCATGCACCAGTCTCTGTCACAACTACTCAATTCTGCCATTTTAGCATCAAAGCAACCACAGACAGTACATAAATAAATGGGCATGATAGTGGGCTGGGTTTGGCCCATGGGCTGTAGTTTGCAGACTCCTCTTATGGATAGAGTCCCTGGATGGTACAAATGGTTAAGTTCTGGACTACTCACCAAAAGGTTGGCAGTTCAAACCCACTGAGAGGTGTCTTGGAAGTTAATGCCTGGCGATCCGCTTCTGAATGGTTACAGTCATGAAAACTCTAGGGAACAGTTCTACTCTGCACACATGGGGTCTCCATGAGTCAGAATTGACTCAGTCACAACTGACAACAACTTATAAACAATGGCGTTCCTTTACTTCAGCGTATCTTATTTCTCTGCATTCTCAGCAGTTAGCACAAGGGTTGCCCCTAAAGTGGCATCTAATCTTATCTAAGATCACTATGGCCACACCACCTCTGTGTGGTCCCCTCCCTCTTCCAACCTCTACAACTTCATCTCATACCCTTTTTTGCTCCCACCCCCAAGCCTTTGTACCTGCTGTCCCTCTGCCTGTAATGCTCATCCTTCTCGTCTGACTACTTACCCCTCTTTTATACTTCAAGTCAAGGGTCACTAATACCAGAAAGCCTTTCTTGACCAGCCTAGATCAAGCCCCCTCCTATAGGTTCTCCAAACACCTCTTCCCTTGTCCCTGCCCCAGTCGCCACTGCTGCCTTGGTGACTTGATCAGTCACCGCCTACTCCACTAGACTGAGTTCCGTGAGGTGCAAGACAGTCTGTCTTCCTCACCACCATGTGCCCAGCCCTTGACTCCTATCTTTTTCACTAACGCAATGAACAAATGAAAGAGTACTCACCCGTGTGGATTCTAAGGTGGCGGTCCAGATCTTTCATGCCATGAACAGTTTTGAAGTGGCAACCTAGAAGAGAAGAAAGAAAACACAGCTCTTCTTAAAACACAGCCTCTCAAGTAAGCTACTACAAAGCTGATGTTCTGGAAGTCCCTCGCCAAGCTCTGGGTGCCACGGGATCAGAACCCACAGGGACAGCAGTATATGCCAGCATAGATGCTCCTATGCCTCCATCACACCGGTAATGCAAGGATCAGCAAGTGAATTAATGAAGAGCTCGCCTAACAGGTTTGGCCCAGAGAAAGGGCTCATGGCGCTGGGCTTTATCCTCTACCTGGATAGCAACAGTTGAACGTCCTCTCTCCAAGGGTGGCTGTTTGTTCCTTTGCCTCTGAGGGAAGAGAGGTGGCAGGGGCCTTCTGGGTGTCACTGCTTTCAGCGGAGAGGCAGGGTGGCTTTGGAACATCGTTATCCAGTTCTGCAGCTGAAATGAAGACGTGAAGTGTTACTTATTTTCTTGGACATAACCATAAACCATGGTAAGTCTTCTATTATAGCAGGTTTGGGCTTATTTCACCTTCTTTCAATACCTCTCCAAAAAAACCTTATAAAACAAAAGTCATGTTCAGCCTAACCAGTCTTACAAAAATCCTGTTTCTCCAATTACCAATTTCGAGGAAATAACAAGGGACAGAGGAACATGGTAACACTGTGAAGATGGGACTGGCAGAACCCAGGCTGCAAAACTTGACAGCCGCGCGTCTCAAACAACGTGGTGGAGACTCAGGTTTCTTTTTTTTTCTTGTACTATAGATGAAGTTTACAGAACTAGCTTCTCATTAAACCGTTAGTACACATATTGTTTTGTGACGCTGGTTGCCAACCGCATGACATGTCAACACTCTCCCCTTCTCAACCTTGGGTTCCCCGTTACCAGCTTTCCTGTCGCCTCCTGCCTTCTCATCCTTGCCCCTGGGCTGGTGTGCCCATTTAGTCTCATTTTGTTTGATGGGCCTGTCTAATCTTTGGCAGAAGGGTGAACCTCAGGAGTGACTTCATTACTGAGTGATAAGGAGACTCAGTTCTTTGTTTAAAATTTCTGATCCATTGCAGGCAGGTATTTTTGTAAAATGTTGTTGATAGGTGCCATCAATTTGGTCCCTGTCTCATGGCAATTCCATGTACCACGGGACTGGACCACTGTGATGCATTGGGTTTTTATTGGCTGATTTGCAGAAATGGATGGCCAGGCCTTTCTTCCTATTCCACCTTAGTCTGGAAGCTCCACTAAAACCTGTTCAGCATCATAGCAACACACAGACCTCCACTGACAGATGGGTGGTGGCTGCGCGTGAGGTGCACTGGCTGGGAACTCAACCCGAGTCTCCTGCACGGAAGGCAAGAAAGAATTCTGCCACTGAGCCACCAACTGCCCTCCTTTGTAAAATAACCATGAACTATGAGGAAAGTGAAACAAGACGAAATAAAAGCCCAGGCAGTATTATTAGCTACAACCAAGAGCTGGATGCCACGGCAAAATCAAGTTGCTGCTTCTAAAGGCTTGCTTTCCATTTTGGAACTTGTTTGTCTCACACCAATAACAGGTCACAGACCATACTCCAAGCTCACTGCTCTACAAGACAAAATGCAGTTGTTTCAACAAATAACTTGAAAGGAAAAAGATGAAGTAGAGAAAGTCACAGATTAAAGACTAAGATGACAATTTGCAATATCAGGACTTTAGCTGGATCCTAATTCAAACATACTTTAAAGGCCATTTGACTTTGCCTTGAGCATCATGTTCTTTTATAAGAACTATCTACATGAGCTCAAATTGACAACAACTCGAAAGGTTAGAGGAGAAGCTTAGAGGGCACTGAGTTTGTGCTGATGGTGAAACAATTTAGAAGAGGCTATCGAGGAAAGGTGCGCACCTTGACGAATATAATCAATGTCACTGCATTATACATGTAGAAATTGTTGACTGATGTGTTTTGCTGTATATCATCTTCACACGCACAAAACAAAAACCACCTGAGACATTCAGAAACACACACTGACTAAAAGTCGGACATAAGGAATTTACGGTTCTTTAAGCTATGAAAATGAAGTAGCTAATTTAAAAAAAAATCCTGTTTTAAGGATACATGTTGAAATATTTATAAGTCATATTATACCTCTGAATTTTTTCTAAATTATCTGAGGCAGAATAGGATTTAAAAACAAAAACCAACCAAGATTGGCCACAGGTAGTTAACTGATGAAGCCAAGAACCGGGCACCTGGGAATTCACTGCACCGGTCCCTCTGCTTTGGTTAAGGTCGAGCCACGTGAAGTCGCCTTTTCATAGGCCAAAATGGTCAAATACCAATAACTTCATATGGTCCAATCTAATGTATTGGCTTAAAAACCTCTCTAACAAAGTACTCCTAAGAGATTTCTTAACCAAATGGACTTAAAGAAAACAACACAAAAAGGTGCTATCAGTGTCTGATCTCAACTTTTAAAAAATGAGATATCAACTAGTTTCTAAATTAAAGGCCAAGGTCTGTTCCCCTCCACCCCCCCGCCCCCAGATGATAACAGAAGGTGGACTCCATCTTCAAGACTAAGCTGCACTTTAACAAGATGCCCAGGTGGCACCAATGTACATTAAATTTTGAAAAGCACATCTCACAGCCAAAAGCCAGAACCCGTTGCCGTCAAGTTGATGCTCACTCATAGTGACCCTGTAAGACAGAGCAGAGCTGCCCCATAGGTTTTCCAAGGCTGTCATCTTTACAGAAGGCTGCCATGTCTTTCTCCCAAGGAACAGCTGGTGGGTTCAAATTGCCCACCTTTTAGTTAGCAGCTGAGCACTTTCATCACGGCGCCACCCAGGCACAACTCAGAGCCAGTGGTCCTCAAACTGCAGCATGCACGAGAATCACCTGGAGGGCTTGTAAAAACACAGACTGCTGGACCAGAGTTTGTATTCAGTAGGTCTGGGATGGGGCCTGGGAATCTGCATTTCTCACAAGTTCCCCAGTGATGCTGATGCTGCTGGTCTAGGCACCACACTTTGAGAACCTCTACTAGGAAGGAAATCGTCTCAGAAGATGCTCAAGGTTGCAGACTAGAAGTTATCAGCTGATGAGAACCCCCACTTGCCAGATCTAAAGCCCAACCTATGCCAGTCATGGAAAAATGCAAACACAATCTTACAACTACATAGCAGTTCACATATTAAAAGAGAAAACTGTCAAAATTCTTCAGTTTTTAATCCTACAGAATTAACAAGATGCCCAGGTGGTTCCAATGCTGAAATCTAAATAAGAGATTGTCAAGCACACCTGGTTAGTTTTAAATTCCAGTTCTATCGCTTGGCTATGAGACCCTGGGTACGAGTCACTCCACTTTACTGTTCCTCTGTTTCCTCATCTGTAAAATGGGGATTCTGGTCCCTATCTCACAGGCTGGATGAAGATTAAATTCTTTAGTACATGTACAAGAATCTTGTCCACAGTAAGTCAGTACTAGATAAACATTACTAGTTTTGTTCACTGATGAGCTACGAGATTCTCGGGGGAGGGGAGAACTGCATTTTGCAATGCAACCTTGAAAAGACACCCGAAGACTGTGAGTGGATTAAAGCTATCAGAAAACTCTACCCGTCCAACACTGGAAAGGATAGCCCAGGCGGAAGTGTCAGGAGCAGGCCCAAAAGACTTCCTTCTTTAAACATCCAGGAAGCCAGGGAGGCTCTGAAGCCCACACCCCCTCTTCAGACCTCAAGTGTAAGGCAGGGCCCCTTTCAGTCTGAAAGTGGGAGTGGGCCACACTGGACCTTAGAATCCAGTTTAGCCCAGTGGGCATTCTAACCCTTTGAGAGACTGCTGATGTTCCCCTTTGCAAGACTGGTTTCTTGCCCTCCCCCGTTTTTCAACTGGTGGTTGCAGGAGGACTACCAAATGACCTGTTCCATTAAACTTTCCCCCAAAAGCTACTTGAGTTGCAAAGTCACATGCAACTTAAGAGGGGCCCAATATTAAAAAAAGTGTCCCTCTTGCTCAGTGTCACAGACCTAAAGTGCACGGATAAAATACATCAGTTGGAAGAGATTCCAGAATGGGAGTTGATTCTGCTCTGCTCCCACAGGAGGGCCACCTAAAGTACTATACAACACAGATCCCCTTCCCCACCCCCGACACACAGGGTGTGGCTTTGGGAGCCCTGTTCCTCACTCCACGAGGACCCTTTAGTTTTAAACTATCTAGCCACATCCTGGAGATACGGATGTTCACCAGAAGGTCGGCAGTTCAAATCCACCAGCCGCTCTTTGGAAACCCTATGGGGCAGTTCCATTGTGTCCTATACGGTTGCTATAAGTTGGAATGGACTCCACAGCAATGGGTTTTGGGTACCCCTGTTCTAGGCCTTGGGTACAAAGGGAGGGGGCGGGGCTTCCCTCTAATAACTGGTTGCATTGATTCCATCCAACAAAGCTTTATTTTTTAATAAGACCCCCCACACACACCAAAAAAAAAAAAAAAAGCAGGGCATGCCGACTCAGGAATCCTACAGGACAGTGTAGAACTGCCCCACAGGGTTTCCAAGGCTGAAATCTGTCTCGGAAGTACAGCCAGAACGCTCCTTAGAAGCTAGGACGGTGAGACTTCATCTCATGTACTTTGGACATGTTATCAGGAGGGACCAATCCCTGGAGAAGAACATCATGCTTGGTAGAGGATCAGCGAAAGAGAGGAAGACCCTCAATGAGATGAGTTGACACAGTGGCTGCAACAAAGGGCTCAAGCATAACAATGATCGTGAGGATGGTGCAGGGCCAGGCAGCGTTTCCTCCTTTTGCGTTGGAACAGACTCGATGGCACCTAACAACAACCTTTACCTAAGCCGACTGCCACATCTCTCTCCCACGGAGCCGTTGGTAGGTTCGAACCATAGACCTTTCTCGGTTAGCAGCCCAGCCCTTAACCGCTGCGCCACTAGGGCTCCTTTCATTTTTTAATACACTCTATTAATTTAGAAAGGAGCCCTGGTGGTGCAGTGGTTAAACATTCGCCTGCTAACTCAAAGGTCGGCAGTTCGAATCTCCTGGCTGCTCCTGGGAAACTGTATGGGGGGCAGTTCTACTTTGTTCTATAGGGTCGCTATGAGTCAGCATGGACTCGACGATAACTGTTTTTTTTTTTTTTTTGTATTAATTTAGAAAGAGTTTCATTAAGCTATCCGCTCCTCCACAACCTCCTCGGGAGGCGTGCTCACCAGAGCCCACCCGACCGACTGTCGGAGAAGTTGGTACGCATGCAAGCAGAGGACGCACCCCCGAGGTCTGAGTCTCCCGGGAGAAGAGACCAGATCCCTCCTCGAGCCAAGAAAATACGGGCGAGAGAAGAGGAGAAAAGTCCAGTTAAAGCCCCCTCCTCCTCTTGCCCTTGCTTTAAAAAGACAAAAGGAAGAGATTTTAGCTAACTAGGGAGGGCA